ATCCAAGGTCAGCTACTTCTGAGATTTAAGCCGTTCTCCGGTAGGCTGCCTTTCATTTTCTGTTAGCAGTAGTCTAGCTCCGGGTTGTGGTAGCTTTTCAGTGGTTCGTTAGGGCTTCTAAATATTTGTAAATCTTCTTTTTTCCCCCTTTTCTATCGTCTAATAAAATCAGCGGCAAAGTTTTTTGTCGTCTTTTCTAAATAAATCAGCATTGCAGGATGGAATAGGGGCAGAAACAAAAAAAAAAACTCAGGTTGCGAGGGTAGACACCTTCCCTAGAAAAAAATCTTAATATTTGGTTCCAATACTTCCTTCATCGAGTATCTCTACACAGGCTTATGGCAATAAGGGCGTGATTGGTTGCTGATTCTGCTGAGCCTGGCGTGTACTAGCTAACCAAATCCCAGTTATCTGGGCTCCACATATACACGAACACTTGATTGGTTATCCGTTTTCATCCAACCACGTTAGGGAGAGAATCTTATTGGTTGCGCCCATACACGCCAGCCAGGCCATGCAGAAACGAGTTTCATTTTAGTATCCGCGGAGACAGGCTGTGGCCTTTTGCACCGCTCGGGCCATGCCCAAATACAAGTTCAAGCAACCAATCAAGCTATTCTTGCATCCCAGGGGCCTGGTCATGCCTCGTGAGGGAAACCAGTCGTGCCCTAAGGGCCTGTTTGGTTGCCCTGATAAAGGCCGGTCAGGCTCCACAGATGCATGGATGCCTGTGCTCGACCACGGGCCTGGTCTGGCGCATGCAGGGAGCCCCTTGGGCCTTGGCTGGCTCTAGGAAAACGGATTTGGAATCCGTTTTTGCCGGGCCTGGCTGGAGCGGGCGCAGCACGTGTATGCGTGTGAGAGGGCGCATGCACCAGGAAGGAGGAAAGCAGGCCAACCAATCAGCTGAGGCTGCATGCGGGCGTTTGAATGCAACGCGAACCAAACAACCGACGCTGCATGCCACAAGCCTGGCTCACGGGCGCCTGGCTCCCAGATGCCAGCCTGGCTGCCCAGAGATGAGAACCAAACGCGCTCTAAGTTGTTCGTCGCACGTCGAACACCATATGCATGAGAGATTATACATAATCATCTTCCCTCGGAAAAAGAATCTACATAAACATCTTAGGAGAAAATGCTAACGGCACTGCATGTAAATTTAGATCATTATTGTGGGGGTATGGTCTCCGGTACCCACAGGACAAGACATGAGCCGCACCATTAGAGGTGGCCTAACCCACAAAATCAAGGCGTGCGGTGCACGGCACTAGTCGGCGTGCACCGCAAGGCTATAAGAAGATATGATTTATTAGATATTGTATAATACCAAATATGATTTTTTTTCTTGTAACCCTACCCCTCCAGAGCATATAAGGAGGGCAGGGGTCCCCTAGTCGATATCTCCATACGGATCCTAGCCTTTGCATAAGGCATCGGATCACACGCAATATCATACGATAGCCAATACAAACCGACAGACCACAGGAGTAGGGTATTACGTCGTGTTGTCGGCTTGAACCTGTCTAACTCTTGTGTCTCTGTTGCCTTCTTGTTCTTGATTACGCACACCGCTGTCGATCAATCTACCTTCGTGGGATACCCCTCGGAGGACTACCGACGATATTCTATCGACAGTTAGCGCGCCAGGTAGGGGTGTGCGTGATGTTTCCATGACGAATAAGATGGTACACTTTTTAGGCTCTTCGTCCTCTCCAAAGTCCGGCTAGATCTTTACAGACGGATCGATCTCCTAGGTCATCAATGTCGACGGAGACGGAGAGATCATCAAGCCGATGCAGATCGATTCTGCGCCAACCACACCAACACCTGCAATGGCAGATCCGATCTCGAAACCGCCCCCAAGGTCGTCTTCACCAACAACTCGCCGCCTGCTGCCCCGCTACTCGAGGAAACAGGTCAGCAACGATGATCTCATCGCATCCATCGATCAGGTCGGCTAGAAGCTCGCCAACTGCCTCTTCCACACGGAATCGGCTCTGACCACTTCGGCTCGGCGCCAGCCACCTTCCGGTTCCGATCTATCGGAAGCCGATCGGAAAACTCCAGGGGATACGACCACCATCCATCAGGATGCCCTAAGAGACAAATTCGTCGGCCAGACTGGAGACATCTATCCTCTCGCCGACCCGATCGCCGACTGCTTCGCTCGACCGTCTATCAAAGCGCCATGCAGTATCGCTTCTCCGACCAGATCGAATGCGGTTACGTCAGTAATCTCCCCGAAACTGATCTGCCTAAGGCTGACCAGCACCATAAGGACAACGTCGCTCGGACTACTCGTTCCGACGCCAGCTGCATCGCAACGATGATCGCCGCGTAGAACTGTGCTATGACGACCACGACCGCCGCCATGACGACAAGTCGAAGAGCTCCAAACCCGGCCAGATAACGTCATACATCGCCGATCGACGCGCTCTCACTAAAGATAAGTACCCTTCCTATATATAAATTTAATACAATTTTTTCCAAGTCTCGCCATGTTTTCTCCTATTGTTATTTCTCCAATATGTCTCCATGATTATTGTCTCCAATAATCTCCATTTGTTCTCCATGCGAATTATCTTTATGATATTCTCCACTCGACTCGCCGACCAGCCACGTTCTTACTCGCGACAGCTAGAAACAGCCCTGACCTCGACTTCGCTCCTACACGTTACGAGCCACGCCTTCTGCGTTATGGATGGACAAATAGGGCTCCTTGGCGACGCTCTTTCTCTTACACGGTACACGGGTGCAGCCACTCCACGCTATAGAGCTTGGGCTAGTCGGGACCGGTGACGCGATAAAGAACCAACTAGAAGGAAGTTACTTATATTTAAAATATGCTCACTTCAAACAAACATAATGTTTATCTACTCCGCTCTGTTTTCTTCATCGTCGAGCTCATATATTTTATTTTTACATCATGTACTACCCGTTCTATATATTTGTGTTGCAGGATCATCGTCTAGGTGGTCGGACCACCTGGTACTCGGACTTCTCCACCGATCAACTGGTCGGCCCGCTAGGTTTACGGACTTCGTCGCCGACCAGTTGATTGGACTGTTCGTCGGTTACTTCTACTCAATGCTCACTTCGCTGCCGACCAGTTGGCCGGACTGTTCGTCGCTCGTGCTTCATCATCAGCTACACTGGGGGCTTACCAGCTAAGCTGGGGACTTCTCGGCGTTCGGATTCTTCGTGCAAGAGTTGTTAGCTAAGGATGGGGACTCTCTTGGTGGCCGGGTCTTGCTACGTCTCATCGGTGTGCTATCAAGCTGATCCATGCTGTTCGGATCAGGGTGTTGATCTTGAACAGCACGTCTGGGGTCTTGATACGTGCATGTCAGATGACGTCGGCAAGCTTTCAGACTTTTTTTTACCCTGCTATAAGATTCATTCTTCATCTTCCAGCAGGCTCGGAGACTAAGTGGCTACACTTCACCTAGCGATGAACGTAGTACTCTTTTCTTGATTTACCCTCCTTATTCACGGAGTCTAAGTGGCTACACTTCTCCTAAGCGGAAGAATTCAAATTTGATTTTGAGCCCCTTACATCCTTCTGGCAATCCTTATTTAGCTAAGTACGAGATCGATTAACCTGTTAAACTAGTCGGCTCCTACTTTCACCGCTCAAGTCACCGGTTACACTGGTCGGCTACGACTTTTACCGCCCAGGTCACCAGTTATACTAGTCGGCTTCGACTTTCACCGCTCAGCTCACCAGTTAAACTGGTCGGCTTCGATTTCCACCGTTCGGATCACTGGTTAAACTGATCGGCTTCACGTCAAACTGCTCGGACTTGTTCAAGACAGTATTGCTCAAAGGATATAAGGCGCTTGGGGACTAGCTGTGGGGGTATGGCCCCTGGTACCCACAGGACAAGACATGGGCCGCACCATTAAAGGTGGCCCAGCCCACAAGATCAAGGCGTGCGGTGCACGACACTGGTCAGCGTCCGCCGTAAGGCTATAAGAAGATGTGATTTATTAGATATTGTATAATACTAAATAGAATATTTTCCTTATAACCCTACCCCTCCAGAGCATATAAGGAGGGGCAGGGGTCCCATGGTCGATATCCTCATACGGATCCTAGGCTTTGCCTAAGGCATCGGATCACACGCAATATTATACGATAGCCAATACAAACCGATATACCATAGGAGTAGAGTATTACGTCATGCTGACGGCCTGAACCTGTCTAACTCTTGTGTCTCTGTTGCCTTCTTGTTCTTAGTTACGCGCACCGCTGCCGATCAATCTACCTTCGTGTGATACCTCTTGGAGGACTGACGACGATATTATGTCGACAATTATGGAACAAGCTGCACAACTAGGACTCAATTTCACTTGAACTTCGTAACAACTTGTTTGGACTTTGATTTGCGGTGTTCCATTGAAAACTTCGGATCTAGTAGATGACATTTAAAGCTGGATACAATACAATGCTTGGTCTACAAATTTAAAGCTGCGGCAGTAACATGCTGGATACAAGCACCTGAACTCACCAAGTGGTAGATGTAGATCACTCACTCAAACCGGCCTACTGGCAGTAACATGCGGTTTTACATTTCTCCGATCCATGGTTCTACAAATGCCATTTGGAGGCAAGACAGCTAGGCAGGAGTAAAAGCAATGGCGTCTGGCCTTCATCCGGAACTGGAAACCTATACGATGGAAACCACACTGGCAACCGGGCCCCGCATTTCGAGTGAGAAACTCGGGGACCGCTGTTGACACAGCAGGTGGCACCGCTGCAGCAAGACGTCTCCGTTTCTCGTGACGATGCTCTCCAGTCCAATCTCCACCAGCCAGCCACCGGAGACTCTGTAACTGTAACGCCACTGACAGGTGGGGCCCAAAGCGCGCGGCGAGGACGCTTCCTTTTCCCAGCTCTGGTTTCCTATTCTACACGCGCGCACAGAACAGAGGCCCCCTCGACTTTCGAGAGCGAAAACCCTCTTTCGCCGCGCCGCTTCCTCTCCCCACCGCCGGTGATGCCTGCGCCGCCATCAGCAGAGGCCGGGAAGGGCCGCACCACGCAACGCGTGACCATCGTCATCGATAGCGACGAGGAAGACGGCGGCGGCGTCGTTGGCGTCGGCGGCCGCCAGGCAGGGCGCGAGCCTGGGAGCGGCGCCGCGATCGCCGCCGCCAGCGAGTCCATAAAGCTCGTCAAGCCAGAGCCCGTCGACGATGCGGGCTTCCACCCGGTGGGTCCGGGGGCGCTGCTCCTTGGGGTGGTGCCTATCTTGCCGCGGGCACAAAACCCCCGCGCGCCGTCCTCGCCACGGGCACAAAACCCCCGCGCGCCGTCCTCGCCACGGGCACCAAGCCCCCGCAATCCGTCCTCGCCGGCGCCGGTCGACGCGGAGGTCCGGAATCAGTCCGAGATTATCGCCATCTCCGACGACGACGACGATGACAATTCCCGATTCCATGGCGCCTTGCCGCTCGACATGGTCGAGGGGAGCGGCCGTCCCGTCAAGGAGGAGGCTTCCGACGACTTGGACTGCGATTGGGTTCGTTTAGCGGAGGCGAAGCGCGCCTTGGTGGCGGTTGTGGCCTCCGGAAGCTCTCACGTGAAGAGGAAGAGGAAGAGAGGATCGCCCGGCGGAGCCAAGCCCTACGCGCGCGGCGGCGGCGGCGTTCACGCGTTGGACCGGAATTCGAGCGCTTCAGGGGCTGGGCATCGCACGGCCACGGCGTGGATGGCCGACGACGCCGGGAGCTCTAGGGATGTGAATAGTAGAGAAGCAAGCAGAGGCGTGGGTGATCGGCCGGGTTCGGCCAAGAAGGCCCTCGTGTCCAGCGAAGAATCCAGGGGTGCACCGGGAAAGGCGAGGAGTGGAGGAGGTGCGAGAAGGGAGAGGAGCACTAGTGTGGCACCTGCGAACTGGATAGGCACCAGCATTGGGTCGCGGATCCGGTCAAGGTCGCGGAAGCAGGGCACAGTGCAGTACTCTGCTCGAGTGTCGTCCGAGGATACAGGGGAGGACGAAGTGCAGGAGCAGAAGCAGAAGAGAGTGGAAGATGTGGAGTCCATGGAGGTAGATGATGATGATGATGACAACGATGGGGAAGATGTGGAGTCCATGGAGGTAGATGATGATGACGACGACAACAACAATGGGGCTGGCAATGGCATACAGCAAGAGAGTGAGCAGGACGAGGCTTTGGAGGGAAGGAGCAGGCAGGATAGCCATGCTTTGATTGATAGTGAGGAGGAGGTGGGGGAAAAGGAATTGTCGGAAGAGGAGGAAGGTGGCAATCAAGAAGAAAGCACTAGCATCTGCGATGGCGAAGGAGAACAAGAAGAGGACGCGTCTGAAGAGATTGAGCAGGAAATGGATGAAACAGGGGAGGAGGACGAACAGGAACTTGATGGAACAGGAAAGGCGCAGCCATTCACGCCTAGCAACACCATTGCAGGTAGCAGTATGAGGTCAGGAGGCGATGACACGCGAGTCTTCAGGAGGAGGGTTTTTGAGGGCATATATTTGCCTCAGAAGCCACGCAAGACTGTTGGCAAGGGCATCGGAGGGCGGACGCGATCACAGCGAAAATGCAAGGACAAAAAACTGCTCAGACGTGGAACTTTCAGTAAACCCTACAATATTGATATTCCGGACTCGACTTCTGATTCTGAAGAGGATAATGAACCACCAGCGCCACAACAAGGACTTCTGTCATCAAGTGAGGAAGACAACATAACTTTTGGCAAAAGGAAGCGCAGAAGAGCAATAAAAAACAGACGGCTTAAGAGATCGAGTACCAGTAGTGACGAGGAGTACAGAGTATATGCTAGGGACGCCAAAGATAGGCCTTTTCGGAGGCTGAAGAAAGGGCTATCCAATCTTCAGGCTGGCAAGGAAGGTTGCAGAAGGTATGATGGTTCAAATCCTGGGCATGCCAAATACAATGGTCCAAATGGCGAGAACCCAATGAACATGTCCAATGAACAGGATGCTATTCTCTTCAAAAGAAAGGCACATACGATTCTAATGAAGAAGCGCGGTCCAGCAGCGAAAGCTGCATATGATGAACTCCTTAATTCCTTGTTTTCTGGCTGGGAGGATCATATAAATGATCCTGATCATGCAGCAGCTGGAAATAGTTTGCCTTTGGTGTTCGCATTCGGAGATGAGGATGCAGAAGAGAATATAGAAAATGACAAGTATCAAGAAGACCTGTGGAGGGAATGCGACATTGCTTTTGAATCCATGAATATTGGTTCCAACAGCTGTGAAGAGGTATTTAACCTTATGTTATATCATTCGGTTTATACTTTGTTTCTAATCAAGGTGTTTCTGATTTTACGAATGTTGTATTTAGTTTGGAGTGGTTGTCTTGAGCTTGGATTCCCTCAGAAAAATGCATGCTTGCATTGATGGATTCTGTGGATTATGCATTTTCTCTTACTCAGTTACTCCAATACATTTAAGATCCAAATAAAAAGCTAATGCTTACACTACTGTGTTCAGGATGGGCAAGAAATTCCTCCAGTGGAAGTTACTTTTTGCAATAATGGGCAGCATGAATTCATTATTGATGAACAAATAGGAGTTCGGTGCAAGCATTGTCATGTTGTCGATCTCGAAATCAGACATGTACTGCCTGCTTTGGTAAGCAAATGTTCAATACAAGTATAGAACATGTTCCTGTAAGACATGATTATGCTTTGCTAGGTAGCACCAACCCCTTTAATAAGTTCATTTTTTTCCTCGTCCAATAGGGGAAATTTTCTGCAGAAAGGGAATCAGCAATCGACCCTGAGTTGGACAAGATGCTTAAGGAAATGCTCAATGTTTTTGAACAAAATGATGTGCTGGTATCAAATGGACATGAACTACCATGCAATTTTGGTGGTCACAAAGCTGGTTCAGTCTGGGATCTCATTCCTGGAGTCAAGGAAACTATGTTCCCACACCAGCAGGATGCATTTGAGTTCTTGTGGACGAAGCTGGCAGGAGGTACTACAATTGAACAGCTAAAGCAAAACGTAAAATCTGATGTTGGAGGTGGTTGTGTGATTTCTCATGCACCTGGGACGGGAAAGACGCGACTAGCAATCACATTTGTTCAATCCTACCTTGAGGTTTTCCCACACTGTAGCCCGGTTATCATTGCTCCCAGGGGGATGTTAGCGACATGGGAGAAGGAGTTCAGGAAATGGAAGGTAAAGCTCCCTTTCATGTACTGAATTCCACTGAGATCAGCTGGAGTGAAGACAAGACCATCCAAGAACAGGTTGCGAAGAATGGAACTTTTCATCGAAGGCTACTGACAGATAAAATGGATCAAAATTATAGACGATTGGTGAAGTTAGGGTCCTGGATGAATGGAACCAGCATAATCGGTTTGAGCTACTCGCTTTTTAGGAAGCTAGCTAATCATGAAGGCATGGACGGGGATAAGGTGAGGAAGCTGCTGCTTGAGAAACCTGACTTGCTTGTCCTTGATGAAGGGCACACGCCAAGGAACAAGAAGAGTCTTATCTGGAAGGTTCTTAAAAGGGTCCGCACTGAAAAGCGAATAATTCTATCGGGGACTCTATTCCAAAACAACTTTGAGGAGCTCTATAACACCTTGCGCCTTGTCAGGCCAAAGGATGCAGATACAGTGCATCTAGAGACGGACGAGGGCAAAGATTTCTGGTCTTCATTAAGACTGAATGACATCACAAAGGCAAACATAAATGAAGTGAGGAAAAATTGGACCCTATCGTGCACATCCATAGTGGCAAATTTCTTCAGAAGTCTCTCTCAGGACTGAGAGAATCCGTTGTGATTCTGAACCCTCTTCCTTATCAGAAAGAAGTCATCGCAAGTATGGAGAAGGCTGTGGCAACGATGGGTCTTGATGCGGAATACAAAATCTCGATTGCATCAATACATCCCTCCCTCCTTGCCAGTGCAAAATTGTCTGAAGAAGAGGAATCTATCTTGGACATACCTAAGCTAAAGAGTTTACGTTCCTCTCCATCTGAAGGGGTTAAGACGAGGTTTGTTTTGGAGATTGTCCGTCTGTGTGAAGCGCTAAATGAACGGGTTCTAGTGTTCAGCCAATATCTTGGACCATTGTCCATGATCATGGAGCAGCTGAAAGAAAAGTTCAATTGGGCTGAAGGCAAAGAGATCCTGCTAATGAGTGGAAATGTTCCTGTTAAAAATCGCGAAACCATGATGGAGGTCTTCAATAACATGAAAAGCAAGGCCAAGGTAATGCTTGCATCAACGAAGGCATGCTGTGAGGGCATTACACTTATCGGGGCATCACGTGTGGTTCTACTTGATGTTGTGTGGAACCCCTCTGTTGGAAGGCAAGCGATTGGCCGAGCTTACAGAATTGGTCAGGAAAAGATTGTGTACACATACAATCTAATTGCAGAAGGAACAACAGAGAAGAGCAAATATGACAGACAAGCTAAGAAGGAGCACATGTCTAAATTGCTCTTTTCAAAAGAACCGGAGCATGGAGAATGCAACTTGCCTCCAGAACTGACGTTCAATGATAGGGTTTTGGAAGAAATGACTGCACGTGAAGACCTCAAAGAATTGTTTGTAAAGATTTATGTTGACAATCAAACTGATGGGTTAAGTGGTAAGTGAAGTTTCTGAGATTAGTAATCTTATTAGTGCAATAGATTCTGATTTTTATGCATGTTTTGTTATTTGCCTTACATTTTTATGATGTTCAATACTGTTTGTATGTGTCCCCATTCCTGCTATATCTCTTTTACTGAAGCTTCTAAGTTCTAGAAGATCGTATGTCCTTTATAAGAACGTGGCCGTGAAGAAGCATATTGGTGATATACACTACTAGTAACCTTCTGTGCATCATGCCATACTATTTGGAGTAGTGTGGAAACTTTCATTTTAACTGGTTGTTTGAGCTACTGGTAATAATGATGTTTTCTTCTTTTCTGTGGATGGATGCAGGAGAGATGGAGAAGAACAATACATGTCCACAGGCCTAATAATATGAAACAGGATTGTGGAAAACAACGAAGGGCACTAAACCAGATGACAGATTATCAAGATGCTGTCTCTGCCAAGGAAGTTTGGTGGGTTTCTTATGCTCTAAGACCTCAGATCCGTGAGGGTTCTAAGCTAGAGTCGAAAGGGATGACCTAGAAGTTTATCTGCACAGCGTAGGTGAGCTGTGGCTAAACCTGCAGAAAGTGGATATGTTGATTGTATTGCTCTTGTACTGGATTCTATGACAATTGCATTGTTTCTAATTTTCCATTCTGGTGCATCGATCAATCTAACGTGCACAGAACACAGCTATTCTTTTTTTTTAAGATCCGAAAACCCGGCATTTAATTAATATAAGAGCAACTCCAAGAGGCTCTATATCTTTATTTAAAGAGCTATTCAATGAATACTCTCTTTGTATCTCTCATGTCTCCAACGATGGACTCTCCAATTTTTGACATTTCTTGTATCTCGATTAATATTAGTCAGAGTAATCATAACAATCTGCAGAAAGATCATCGGTGCTAGCCTCAACAAAACTGACATTTTGGTCTAGATTGCTGCTGACGAGATTATATGTTATCTTATCAGGAGACCAAGCCGCAATGCTTTCTGCTTATAAATCTTGTGTGTTTTTTTTTAACATTTCTATACTTGCTTTTTTTTTTTATAAATTCTATACTTGCTTTCTTTGTACCTAACATGACACGAGCAATGCTAAATAAATCCCCTTTCTCCAAGGCAAACTGCCATTCCCTTGTTGAGACGTCAAACCAATCCTTTCTTAAATACAGTTGTTTTAACCTCCACATATTCTGTGAAACCCTCTGGGTGTGTTATAACAATTCTGTTGTTCACCCACCTAACATTGTTGGAACCTAGCTGTTTGGCAAAACATTTCTCGACCAGTACCAAGCCTCCCTGTTCTTAACTGGCTTGCATCTGAAGGCCGCTGATTCTTGTCTTCTGCAAGATTGGCCAGATTCTCATCGAAATTTGTTAGCTCAACATGGACCGTTGGGCTTGAACTTCCAGCCTCCAAGTTCAAATAAGCATGTGCATTGAAAGGTTCAGCAGACATCACCGTCCGAGGCTCATCAAGGATTTCCGCTGAACTATCTCCAAGCAATGTAGTTTCAGACCTTGGTTTCTCTTCTATAATCCAATCCCCTTCAAGATCAACAGAAAGCAAACTATCTTCGGTGTGTCCATACATAGCAGGCATGTTTAAGTTTGATGAAAGGTCCAGAATCATTCACCTTTGCCTCTTGCATGCTGGTTTATGAGAGGTGTTATGAAGACGGGTGCTGTTCTCCAATGGCTAAGAGGCCAACTTGAAACCATTCCTGGTGCCTTCTGATGATTGGGAGCACTGAATTCACGAACAGGTTGGAAATCAACCCCCTGGGTACAGGCCCGTACATTAGCAGGTGCAAAGTGTGCGACTGTTCAGGGCCTCCAAAATTACAGGGCCTCCAAATTTACACAATACACTAAGTTCTTGGATGATAGAAAATTGCTTTCTTCTTGTGTCAATCTAGAAGTAAAACTTAAGAGTGAACGTTCAGATATTGATGGAAGAGAATTATATGTGGAGTTAAAGTTCATCCAAGATCATATTGACAGATCTATGGGCCCTCTTGATATTCTGAAATATTTGAAACAGCATGGTTCTTTCCCAAACGCCATTATTGCATACAGAATTTTGTTAACCATTCCTGTTACTGTTGCATCTGCGGAAAGGAGCTTTTCTAAACTCAAGTTATTGAAGTCCTACTTGCGATGTACAATGACACAAGAAAGACTCAATGGGTTGGCAACAATAGCACTTGCAAATGATATTTTGGAGATGATCAAGTATGAAGATATAATTGAAGACTTCATTTCAAAGAATACTAAGAGAATGATGCTTTTCAGTAGAACATAAGGTCAGTTTGTTGCTTAAGTACTTTTTGTATTGTTTTAGCATCAAGATTTGATATGTTCTAAGTACCGTAAGAACAACGTATATTTGAAGCTTTATAATGAAGTAAAAGTATGCTTTTGTTATATTATTTTCTTATAAATTTTAGGGCCACATCACGCGTTTCGTTCAGGTACCTCCAAATCGTAGGTACGGGCCTGCTGGGTATCAGCACCACCTTGGTTGGCTGAACCTTGGTCTGCTGCAGGCAACGAAGAGAAGGACCAGACAGCTTCATGCTCAGTAACTCAGAAACATTCTGATTATTAACGATAAAAGACTCTATTTGTTCAGCATGGGTGCTTAGATTCTGCCATGGTTTTGATCATGTGTAGAAAATTTGCAACATGAAGATCAGGGGACCCATCAAAGAAAATTCTAGAAAGCTCCAAAAATACTGAATGTGAATCAGCATCTTGTGTTGCGTATAGATTATCTCCCTGCAAAAGACAATACTTGTGGAATAACTTGTCAACAACTACTACTTGCGGATTGCTAATCTTCATGATGTCGTTTTTCTGGAAGTAGATATAAGTATCTCTATGCATCTTATAGATGTACCGTTGCATGTATGGCAAAAGCCAACAAATCAAGGAAACCTTTTTCTCTCTTCTCTGATGTACCATAAAATATTGCTTCACGATACACAACCTCCGAAAGTGCTTGGATGCCTAAGCTTTTCATCAAAGCAGCTACTCTTCCATACAGCATTTGCTTATCCTCAGAAGAAAGGTCACCAAATTGTATGGACTAAACATCACTAGAGTTAATAAACTGTTGCTTCAACTCATCATCATCTACCCAGCAAACAAGGATGTAGAGAGACCCATTTATCGGCTGAGATGGGCAATATTGTTGTTTCTAATTTCTGAAGAGATTTTTCAAGTACAATATATCATTCGTCTTGTCACTCTCAGACTGCAGATACTTAGTCCATCTCACAAACACACAAAAGACATGGTTTGCTGCCTGTGAAAGCAATACAGTGGTTGACAGCCGTAGCAGCATCTCAACATAATTTGATGTTGTTGGAGCCTTTGGTACACCACATGTCAGAGTAAATAATTCACAAAGGTTTGGATAGGCTGCAGACAGCATTCTTCTTGGGAACATGTTTCTGTTTTTCGTTGCCACGAAATTCTCTGTTATTTCAGAACCTCCTGTTGGGTCATGCCAATAGAGGTCTTCTGGCGCCAAAAACCATCCAGGAATAACCTCACTTGCCCGAGGACGCTGCAGTGGTGTAAATATAGAGGAGATGACATGAACTCCCGTTTAATGTCAATCTGTCTGCCACACCTTCTGACAAGAAGGTATAGAATTTGCACATCTGGCTCATACTTGCTCTGAAGGGAACCTTTGATGTTATCCAATACTTCAGGACCATCAATGCATCACAGTAGGATACCTCTGTTTTGAATCCAATGGCCTTCTTAAGTGAACTGCTAGATACCTGCGGTACAGCATATGGATCCACCACTACCAAAAAGAGAGCAGGCATTTTTTAACTCTGTTGGCATCTCTGTTAATCCCAATTGAAATGGTGCAGAATATTCAAGGTTTCATGTGGGATGATGAGAACGTGTGAACTAGGAACTTCAGAAGCATGTGACATGTGTTTTATGGCACTTGAGGCCATATGCAAATTTCAAAACTGCAACCTTGGGATGATCAGCTATTATAACCATTTGTTTTTGCTCAGCTGAACTCAGGAGAAGTGGGTGCTGTAGAAGGAATAGTTGGGGAGAGTTCAAAAAGGTAGCAGAATCACACAATTTGGTCTTTTGTACCCATAGCTCTTACCAGGTTTCAATAGACCTCTTTATCATTTCGTAATTTGCATGGGAAAAGTTAGCAGTAACTGCCATGTACTGAAGAAGAGCATAAATTTGTGTTTCACTGTTCCAATCACAAGAATTGGCCCAGACCACAAGAGGTCAGTACCTCAAAGCTTATCGAACGTAGTTCATGTGTGTTTCAATCTGCAACTTTACAGATATCATACACCTTCTTACCTACTTTACAAACTACACGACTGAACTTGCATCGAACATTACATTTTTGCAATGAGCTCATACTGCTCTGATATTTTTCAATGTCCTTTATTGCCTGCTTTAGTTTGCCGCTGACATCACCCAATGCCCACACCAACGATATATGTGGCCGTGGATTCTGCCAAATGATCAAATGACAGTTAAATAATATCATTTAGATTTGGTGACAAAATTTGAAGAGTCATTTTAATCTGACAGAGATTACTGATTACTTCTTCATGTAGTCATGTACTGATATTCCAAATCAACAATTGCATTAGCTTACATCAAAGACACCAGCTTCTTTTTTGCATACTATTGGCCTTAGTACCATATGAATGAATTGGCTAACTTTTGTTTACAAGCAAGATGCTAGATTTATCTAATTGAATGAATTATGTGCTCGATTTATCTAATTCAATGAATTAATTTGAAATCAAGGAAAAGATCATGTTTCATAGCATCTTGTCACTCGTCCTAAACACTAATATAATGCATAACTCAAAATCCATTACCGTGTAAAATTCAGGAAGACCATGCAATCGATATACTTCATCTACCATAAGTATCTGCTTCCTTATCTGCAAAAAAAAAAAACTGAGGGTAAACACAAGATGCAAAAGGTTCTCATTATGAAAATTCAATATGACATAGACATAGGCAGACGCTTCACCCTTAATGCATGTAAACACAAGATGGCACAAACATGTACCGTAAATACCTCTGGCAAACCAGTTCTTGTAACTTCTAGTGAAAGAAATGACCGTGTACAATCGTCATTGACAAAGTGCTCCCATTTATTGAACTCCATACAGTACCTTTGTTCCACATGTATAAAGATCTCCATCAGTAACAATGAGACACAAAGGTTGAAAAGTACAAAAAAGAATACTGGGCAACTGTAACCCTGTACAGGAAAATGCGTCCACAGAGGGGACAAACTAGTAGTCACGGAGCAGCGAAGTTCTTAGAGATGACTAACCGTTGTTGTGGCTGGAATTTCTGGCGAAGCATTGCAACAAATGAGTCAATCTGATGCACCTGGACTGCAACAGGTCTTCCCAAGCTTACATGAAACTCCCTGCTCAGAAGCACTTTCTCAAGCTTCTGTTCATCTTTGCACAATTCAGAAAGTGCATAGTCTGCATCAACAGCATAGAGATCCGGCACAAGAGATGCAGCTCTTTTCATAGAAAGGGTCAGCTGTTTCCTTGCATCAGAAGGTATGACGACTGCATAAGATAAGACAGCTAAATATAAGTGAGGAGCAGTTATAGACTGAAAATTTGTTGTGATTCTAGTTCTGCAAGTATTCAGGCGAACATTGGGGCAGTAGGATCATATGATGGCCACAGTTTCAATAAAAAAATGTGCATAATCTTTTTTCCCCTTCACTAATGAACCGGAGAAATTATTTCCAGACATGTTCTGTTGGTTGCCACGTTTTTATTGACAAGCTCATTCTAATCCTTGAAACGACACCGAGCAACCAGATAATAGCTAAGAGGATACATCATATATATTTGATCTCGATTTCTAAGTGCACATTAACATCAAAGAACAATAACATTTGTAGCAAGACCAACAAGCATAAGCGCAGACCAGGGATATAAACATGTACAACATAGTTGCCTTCCACATGGGGGAAGCTCCGGACACGACCCCCCTGCGCCATCGCCGAGTAATCTGCACCACGTATTGTCCCCAGATAGGCAGATACCGTCAGCACTCAGAACATCATCAGATATAAGGTTCAAAGAGATGGGAGCGCAAGGAATCATGCCTACGAAGTTGGGGGGCTGGAGGAGGTCGAGGGGAGGAGGTGGGAGCAAGGCCGAAGGTTCCGGGACCTCCGGGGCGCCTCCGGAGACGGCAGCCGGCTCGCCGCCGTCAGAGTCGGAGTCGGACGCGTAGCTCGCCATGAGCGCGTCCATCGGTTGCCTTCCCCCCGTTGGACCCCAGCCGAATCGGTGGGGACGTGGGTCCACGACGCGGCCGCGAGAGAAGTCGGCGGCGAGCGCCGCGCTCAACGGCTACTGATGCAGTGGGCGGCGCTAGCGAAGTGGCCTGGTGGGAGGCACGGGGAGGGCGTCGCTTCGCGGAGAGTAGCGGCGCTGGCGTGGAGAGTTGTGTTGGACGGGCGGCCGCGCAGGCAAGAAACGGGAGGACGGAGATGTGAACGAGTGGCTGACGGATGGGAGCCACGGCTGATAGGTAGGGCCCGCGACTGCGGCTAGCCAAAACTCGACCCAATCACTCTAATCTGAGACGATTCTGGGAGCCCAACTCTAACTGGTTGACGGGCCCCTGTCGCACAGCACATATATATAGAGGAGTGGGGAACTGGGCTCAGTGAACGAGGTTGACCGGAGCCGCCACACCCACCTAAAGATAACCCTAATCCGATCCTAAAGCGTGCTGCCAGCGACGGGATGTGCCCCACCAAGCGCACCGCCGTCGCCCCTGCAGGTCTACACCAGGCCATGGGAACACCACTGGATCACCACCTCGTCTCCTCACCGGCCGCGTCGAGCACCGGCGTCCGCGTGGACTACACCGAGCCGGAGCTGCCTCTACACTGGACGCCTACTGCGCCGCGGCACCAGCGTCTACGCTGCTGCTGCGTCGCAACAGAGAAAGGCGAGGAGGCTTACCAAATCCACGGTTACACACAGAGGTACACATCATCGATTCTAACAATGGCACCAGAGCTAGGTTGCCTCTGTGTAACCCTAACCCTAACTGGGTAAAAGAAGAAAGAAAGAGAGACCGGGTGGCGGACGTCACTGTCTACCGGTCACCACCGCCACCGAGCGGGGGAAAGAAGCCGCACCGTTCGACGGCGCGTGGCAACAGAAGCAAGAACAGAAAAGATCCGTGTTCGGATCAGAAAAGAAAAAGAGGAAAAGGATCTCAAGAACCCTAACCCTAACCCTAACCCGCGTAGAAAGCTCAGGGAAGAAGAAGAAGAGAAGAGAACCGAACACTTCTTTTCGGATCTGAACAGAAGAAGAGTGGGTTCGAATTTGACCGAACCCTAAGCCATAACCCTAACTCGAATAAAGAAGGGGAAGGAAACCCATTCGGATGAACTCCGAAAAGAAAAGAAATTAAAAGAAAACGAATCCCTAACCCAAGATCCCCATTTCGGATAAACTCCAAAACGGAAAGAAAGATCCAAAAGCAAATCCGAAGGGGAAGAAGAAAAGGAACCCTAGCATCTCAATCTCGGATCAAAAGAAATCCAAATCGAAAAGAACAAGGGGAAGAAGGGAAGGGCTGCCGCCTCGCCGGGGTAAGAAGATGAATAGTGAAACCCTAACCCTAACTTCATACCCCAATCGGTTGAATCTGAAAAGAGAAACCAACCTCGCCGGGCGTCGGTAAAACCCTTCGTCGGCGCGGGAGAAGAAGACCGAGCCGGGCTCGCTGCTCGCCGGGCTCGGCCAAGGGGTCACCGCGGCCAAGCCGCTCGACAGCGGCGCGCTCACCCGCTGGGGAGCGCGCACGTCGGCGAGGGGGTCGGCGGCGGTGCCATGGTCACCGTCTCTCTCTCGGTGGCTGCTGTCCTTGCGCTGAGAAAGATAGAACGCCGCGAGAGAAAGAAAGAGAGAGAGCGAAGAAGAGAGAGAATCAGAAAGGAGCAAATGAAACTAGGGTTCGGGACCGCGGCCGTTGAAGACCTTTTGTTTGGTCGAAACGATCGGACTGTCGTTGGATGAGATCCAATGGCGCCGGATGCACGGGCCAGCGAGCGGCCCAGGCGGGCGAGCGCACCGCGCGACACTTTGCCGGCCCAGGACCAGGTTGCGGCCTGGGTGCGGTCGGGCGGCGCGCACAGAGCTGGGCCAGGCTGTTTAGCAGGCCGAGGTCATGTACTGTAGCTGATAGGCTGTGCACTGTTGCTACAGGCCGGGCCAAAAATGAATAGAAGAATATGGAAAGGTTTTATTTAATTTCAGAAGCTGACTTGAATGAATTCTAATGGTTTAAAATTTCTGGTAAAATTACACCAACGTGTTATTTTTCCAGAAAATAGATACGAACCAGAAAAGCTTCTGAAAAATAGATAATGAATTTTTCATGCTTTTCCTTTTCAGTAAATGTTTATTTCCTGGAAAATTGAAAATGCAAATTGGCTCAAAAGAAAAATAGAAAAGTAATTTTTCCCTGTGGGTAAAATTCAAGAAATTGAGTGAAAGTTTTTCCGCTACTAAAGAAAATATTGATTCTCCAGTTATTTTGAACCAATGTGGTATTTAATTGAAGAAAAAGAGATTTGACATGATTATGATGTTGTTATTTTCTGACCAACGTTGTTAATAACAATATCATAATTTTAATGATTTATGCATTAATTCTACTTCTGCCCAACAGTGATGTAGAATTAGTGTATAAGAACATATGTTAATTTTAATGATTTATGCATTAATTCTACTTCTGTCCAACGGTGATGTAGAATTAGTGTGTAAGAATAGTTATGAAAGTTAAAGATTTATGCATTAATTCTATTTCTGCCCAACGATGATGTAGAATTAGTATATAAGAATAATTGTATGTTTTGATTTTGACCAACGTTGGAATCAAGACATGCAAATAGTATTATTTTTATGTTAAGAAAAGTTTTGACCTGGTTTTCATCTTGTCTAAGATGGACTGGGAAGTCACCTTACCGTGTTCCACTGAATTTATGACATCGGTGAGGGAGACAAAAGAGAATGATGCCACTTGAGCAACCAAAGAAAGGGATTTTGAATCTCAAAAGATGTCCTATGTCTTTTGAGTTTTGAGCATAGGAAGTGGGTCACTGCCAACAAGAAATGTTTGACTGTGATAAAGAACATGATTGAACCTGCAATTGTGGGCTTAATCCCAGTGTGTAACACGGTCACTGAGTACCTCGATAGAATAAAAAGTCAGTTCACTGGCTCTTCAAAGACATATGCCACCCAGCTGATAAAAGCAGCTGGTGATAGAAAGTTAATCTGTAAATAGTGGTATAAGAGAGCTCACGATGCGTTGTCGAAATTATGGCACTATCGTTCAGGCCATATTTCGAGGGGGAGAATATAAAGACAAGTTAAGAATGATATTCTTCCTCCATTAGAGCTCTCAGATTAAGAACAATGCAGGGAATGCATAAAAGGAAAGTATGTAAAGAAGATTAAGAAAGATGACAAACGAAGCGCATGAATTTTATAGATTTTTCACACAGACATCTGTGGTCAACTTTCCTGTAAAGAGTGTGGATGGTTATGATTCGTTCATAACATTCACAGATGATTACTCTCATTACGGCTATATTTATCCAATCTAAGAAAGAAAAGATGTATTGGATAAATTTAAGATATTAAAGATTAAGATAGTCAGGTCTGACCGTGGGAGAGTACTACGGTCGGCATACCCTAAAAGAATGGCATAGTAGCCCAGTATTCTACATCGGACGAACCTCAGCAGAATAGAGTAGCTAAAAGAATCAATCGCACCCCGATGGATATGCTGGGCAGTATGATAAGTTACTCCACCTTACAGTTGAGCCTGTGGATGGAGGCGTTAAAACCGACATTCATATTCTCAATAGAGTACCAAATAAGTCGGTGCCCAAAACACCATATGAGTTGTGGACAGAAATAGTACCCTCACTAAACCACTTGTGTGGGGGGGGGAGTCCTGCTGAGGCTAAAGTATTTAACCCAAAATAGTAAGTTGCCATTTGTTTGGCTACCCAAAAAAGTCAAAAGGTTTTTGTTTTCTACTGTGCAGAGAGACATACAAAGTTTATGAAAACGAGACATGCTGTCTTCCTAGAGGATGAATTGATGAGGGGGAACATGGTAGCTCGAGAAATTGACCTTTAAGTGAAGCGGGTGTATGCGCCCACTCTAATGATTCATGAGCTATTTTTCTCACTACCTGCTGTCGCTGCACCGATAGTGCTAGATACTGTGGTGCCAGCACCTGTTGTTATCCCGCCTATGACAACAGTGAATGACAATGAGGAACCTGTTCTTCAGGATCCTATAGAACCTATTGTCACACATGAGGGGGAGCAACAACAGCCTCAAACAGAACATGTGCCAAATGTGAAGGCCCCTAGAAAATCTCAAAGAGTTAGAAAATCAGTTATTCCTGCTGATTATGAAGTGTACAACACTGAGGAATTTTAAATGGAGGATGATCCCACCTCATTTGAAGAAGCCATGAGAAGTGATCATTCATCACAGTGGCTTGAGGCCATGGAAGTTGAAATGAAATCAATGAATGCCAATAAAGTTTGGGATTTAAAAATAATTCCTAAAGTAGTCAAAACATTAGGCTATAAATGGGTCTACAGAACATCACTTGACTCTCAAGGGAATATAGAGAGATATAAAGCGAGACTTGTGGCAAAAGGTTTTACGCAAAGAGAAGGGATTGATTACAATGAGAACTTTTCTTTAGTCTCATGTAAAGTTTCCTTCAGAATTATAATAGCATTAATGACACATTACGATTTAGAATTACATCAGATGGATGTAAAGACAGCATTTCTCAACGGAAACTTGGAGAAAAATGTTTACGTGGCACAACCGAAAGGTTTGTCATGGAAGGAAAAGAACGAATGGGATGCCGCCTAAAGAAATTCATTTATGGATTAAAACAAGCTTCAAAACAGTGGTACTAGAAGTTTGATCAGACAATAAAGAATTTTGGGTTTAAAGAAAATGTAGAGGACAATTGTGTCTATACAAAGTTTAAGAATGGGAAGTTTATCTTCCTTGTCCTGTATGTGGATGATATCTTACTTGCTAGTAGTGATGTTAGTCTACTACTGGAGACAAAGATGTTTTTTGTTCTTAAAATTTAATATGAAAGATCTTGGTGAAGCTTTGTTCGTTCTAGGGATCGAGATTCATCGAGATAGAAGTAAAGGGGTATTAGGACTATCATAAAA